AACCATCTTTAATTAGTAGTTATGATTATCGTTTTACGTTTTTTGGAGAGTTATCAGTTGTCACAAGTGTTTTGACCACGTTTCGATCATACATTCACTACAAAAAAGACAGCATATAACGTTGGTTATGGTTATATATATATATATATATATATATATATATATATATATATATTTAACGTTACTTATAAACTGAAGCAAATGTATTACCGTTAACAATCAATGACGTGAAACTTCACTTGAACAAAGGTCATTATATTTAACATCAAACAAATAACGTTGGGTTTTTAGTAATTTATCAACGTATTTGTTATTTTTAGTTATTTTATGCTAATTATAATATATATATATATATATAGGAATTGAAATATATGGATTTGCAGCTTGTTGTTTATAACTTCATCGGGAGCAGGGGAAACGAATTTCTTCAGATGCTATTCGTGTCTCAGTCTTGGTGAGCAGTAGCGGAGGCACATATAATTTGTTGGGAGCATTCGCCCCAATAAAATTTAAAATATGTTATAACTTATTAAGACTTAATATCAATGCTCCTACTCATAAAATGATATATATCCTCATTTGTCCCCAATGAAAAAAAATTTCTGACTCCACCACTATTGGTGGTGAGTGATAATCTTCACTATGGCTAACATCTTTCCAAAGTTCCATAGATTAGCTCTTAATAGAAGAAGTGGTATGAACTATGAAGTATATGTTTAATATGTTATTAACTGTGAGGCAGTGGCGGAGCCACATCGTTTAGGTTGGGGTCATATGCCCCCAGTAAATTTTATAAAATGGTGCAATTTATAAAGTAATTTATTAACGCCCCCATTCATAAAGTTATGTATGTTCCATTGATGCCCCCAGTGAAGAAAATTTGTGGCTCCGCCACTGCTGTGAGGCACATCGCTGCAAGCCTGCAATGAGCTGTCAATTTTTTCATGAGATTTAAAATTGACTTGCATCTTGGCTTTATCAGGAATTATATGATGATTTGCAAATAGGTTTGAACATGAGAAAGCTCGCACTAGTAATAACTTCCAAGTTCGCAGGTATAACATGTATATCTTTTTTTTATTTTCTTGTGTGTGTGTCCATTAGATTTACAGAGTATCAGATATGGAGATATAGAGCTAGTGAAGCTAGTGAGAGTACTGCCAAGTTCGAAGGATGAAGTAAATGTTGCTTTGACTTTTTGTTTGTCGACAATCTATTGTCGACTTGGATGATATTTAATTATTTTAACAAGAGGATTTAAACTTTCTTGTTTATAATCTATTAATGTTTTATTTATTATACTTAATTTTAGTAATTAATTATATTAGAAACCAAATATTTTGATTTTCTTTAACCTCTCTAGCTAAAACATTGCTAGCTAAGAGATGGCTGTCGCTATATACATAGCCAGTTGTAGCAACAAATAATCTGTTAGCCATAGATTTTATAGGGAAAATCGTTACTAAAATTTGTAGCCACATAGTCACGAAAAATCACTTGCCAAAGTTGTCACTAAAAAGCTATGGACCAAGTCGTAGACATGCTATTGCTAATGGCTACAGAATGTACTCTTGCTAATCCATCGTAATGCAGCTACAAATTGGCTGCAGACCAAGGATAGCGTCGCAGCTGAGGCCATAGATTTTTCTATCGCCGTCCATTGCTTGTGTTGTATTAGCGAGGGATTGTGTCCTATAACTACAGAATAATCCATAGCTATTTCAGTCAGTTCTTGTAGTAAAAAACCTAAATATCTTAAATAAATGTTATAGAAAAACAAATCACATAAATAAATCAGATGGTGGAATATACATAAAACATACATACAGACACACAAAAATTACCTAGCTATAAGCATTTACGTCAATGTCATATGAGACAACATCCGCCAATTTTTTTTTTCAAAAACTTGATCGTAGCCATCTTTTTTCTCTGAAGAACATTAATCTGATATGCTTTATCACTGGTTTTCTGCCACATAACTTAAATGAAATAATCAAACACTTTAATTGAATTACAAAGAAAATCTGATATGCTTTATCAGTGTTTTTCTGCTACATAACTGAAATGAAATAATCAAACACTTTAATTGAATTACAAAGAAATTTTAAGAATGTAAAATCATATGAACAAAGAGGTAAAATCATATGAACAAAGCATGATAGATGGAGAGACAAACCTCATGAGAGTGAAGCCGATTTATGATTTCTTGTGACTGAGAAAAAAAGAACAAAATCTGGAAAGACTTTCTTGTCTCGTACGTATTCACATATAATAAATTAAATACGCATGCAAAATGAAAACCCGAAAGAAATCTGCTAGAAAAACTTAAGAAGCTTTAATCGTCTCCTACAAAGATGGGGTGAGTTTGAAGAACTCACAATGAAAAGAGAAAGACGATATACCCGAAACGTGTTGATGAGAGAGTTAAACCTAAGAATGTTAAAGTCACTTAACAATTAACTCTCGCTCTCATGCTAAACTTAAGATCATGCATTGGACATTGAATTTGTCTGCTCACATCTTCTGAGATGAATGCTTAATATGACTTCAGATATTAACTTTTTGAAAAATGTGTTAAAATAAAAAATACTGATTATTTTGATATTTTCTAAAACTAATGTGGCAGAAAAAGGAATGCTGATGTGTCAGTTTTGTGAGACCTCATTCACATTTTATATAATAGATGTTTGCTTATGTTATAAATATGTAAACTTTTGTAAAGAAACCAAGTGAAGAAGTCCTAAACAGAAAGATTTCTCTTCTCTTATTCTCGTCTCTTTCTCACCGCTATATATATATATATATATATATTATAGTTTATAGTGTACGTGGTATTGCTTTTATAACTGAAATTTCACTCAAATTATATGACCCACGATCAAAACGTATTATAAAAGCAAACTAGATTTTACACGTGCATCCGCATATGAACTATTTATAATTTATCAAATTTTATAATATAATTTATGTTTTTGTTTTTGTTTAGATATAATTTTTACTAAGTGATATATGTTTTTTCTGTTTATATATAATTTGTTTCTATTGACTTATTTTTTTTAGTATATATATAAACATGATTAGAAAAATATTCTTCTAACCTATCCGTTCATATTAATCCGAAAGTACAACAATTATAAAAACAGTATTATAACATGTCTATTTGTATTAATCCGAAAAAAACCGTAATTATTAAAACATAATTATAACTCGTTCATTCATATTATTTGTATATTTTATATATTATAAATTTTTCAAATTTATTTAATAAAAAATACAATAATATATTATTTTTATCTTGGTCATTGAAAATATTACTTAAATTTGAATATTTAAATTAAATCTAATTAATATCAGATTTATTATTTTTGTAAAAATATAATAATAACTTATTTTATAATTTTTGATAAATAATATAATCTATATCTAAGGAAATTTATAACAAATCTAAATTTAAATTTAAAATTTCGAATTTATTTTAAAATATAACTTAAAAATATATTATCTTATTAATATTACATTAAATTAACTTGTTTGATAACATAAATAGGAGTTGTCCAAAAATAGAATAGTAGAAAACTAAGTAATTTGTTTGGACACAAAACATATTTCTGTAAAACAGTATAGAAGAATGTAACTATTAGCGCATGTCTCAACATCCGGGGATGTTGATGGCAAGGCGAACGTATTGAGGCTAAGAATGTAAGTAATATTAGCATTTTTTTAGTGGAGCTTTTATAACTTTCTTTAATATTGATAAAATTAAATCTCATAGTTTAACTTAGGATTCAAACCTCTAAAATATTGGTAAAAGTAAATCTCATAGTTTAACTTAGGATTCAAACCTCTTTTGATTCAAACCACTGGCCAGTTTATTCAATAGTATTATACGAAATTTCGAAGTTTGGTCACAGTAGAATTCGTTTGTTAGAATCTATTCTGTAATGTGATCATCTAGGTCACTTTTGTGATTGATTATTTACGTAAAAGCAGTGAAGGTTCTTCTCAATCCCTCTTGCTTAATCTTCAGACATTAAGCAAGTGTTATTTCACGGCTGAAATTGTTTTTTGCAGTTGGAATATATACTGGTCTTGGGCATCAAATTGTACTGACTTTCACTTTCATCATGTTTTTTTTTTTAAAAAAATTGTTTTGAAAGTACTTCAGAAATTCATTGGTTTGATTTCCTATTGTGTTTTCTAAAAACAAGGAGTTAGGCAAAGAAATTCTAGCAAATCTCTTTCACAAAATGAAAGATATTTCGTTGTCCGGCAAAATCTCTTTCTCAGAGGAATGCATATTTTATTAAGCAAATAGTTACTACTAGTCATGATATATGGTGGATGTTTCTCTCAAAAAGTAATTTGGTAAAGATTTTATAAATTCTTTGGGTAGGATGGAAACCATCCCAAAACAAGTAAGCATATATATTGGACTATAGGAGCATAGAAATGTTGTGAATCGATTGCAGAGTGGAACAGCTTCCACAAAATCCAGTTCCACTACTACTTTATAAGAAAGTGCGTGCGATCTAGAATTACCATAATCTTTTTTGGTTTAACCTAGAAATAGAATAACCATAATCTTGTCGATGTAAAACACATTAGAATTTGGTAGTATGGAGAGGTTTGCGTTGAAAAACTGAGAAGCATATACTTTACATCTTGAGCACTCTTGAGCACAATCTCTACGATGTTAGATAAGATTATGCATCCAAGTGGTGGTGTTCCTATTATTGGATTATGATTCAATGTTCCCTAATCAGATTCATCATTTAGGGGATTTTGTTCTTAAAAATGTTGAAAAACAACCCAATGTTAGATAAGGGAGATGTAATAAACGTTTCTTGAGCTAGTTATTAATGGGCATGGTTTTTCCAGTATAATAAAATAAAAGCATATGTTTCAGATTTAAGCAACAAAAATCAAACCAGGAAGAAACACATTTATTCACTGAAACAAAACAGTGCCCTTTATTAGAGAAAAGGGAAGAACTTCCCTCACTCCTGCTCCCTCGCAGCCGCCACGGATGTAATGTGCATCAGGACCTCTTCATAGAAAGATTTCTCCATCGCCAGATAAGATTGATAGTAATGACGATGATAACGCATGCATTTGTTCATCTTTAAATAGAGCTCCTGACACTTTTTGTCACGGTGTCCAGCTTTCACCACGCAATCTTCGTGAGCCGTAAACTCGTCTTTACAAGCACCTCTGCTCATGAACTCGAGAAACTGCGCTTCAGAATCCTTTTTCCTCTCTGCCTCAGTTGCGGAATCTCCCAGCCTCGACGGGAACAAGGCGTAGGCTTCCCTCTCGTACTTCGCTAGAGCAGCTTTCATCGGTTCTGGCCAGTCAGCAGACGGATCTTCCAGTTTCTCCGGCAGGACTTGGTTGTTTCGGGTACTGGACTCGGTGGATGACGTGATCCCCATTTTTCTCAGCCGTGAGATCAGTATCGTATGTAAATCGGCGTTTCAGACGATTAGAAAACCATGATCTATATATATACCTACGGTTTTCAGTCCCTCAATCTAGGGCTTTGATTGTAATCTTGCGGAATGACAGAATGACGGAAAAAATATCTTACGGAATAGATTAATCTATTTATAAATCACTTTTCTGTGGAATGAATTTTTTTTATATGTTTTTTTAAGCGAAGACATCTATTATCTGTTATATTAAAACAGAAGCACTTTTAGTGTTTGTTTCCAAATACTCCTAAAGTTTTTTTTTAAATATATTTTTATATATATAAATTTAATTTCGAAAATTAGATATTTATTTAGATAACTAAAATTTTCTTTAAATATAGGTTATATCTATAGTCTATAGATATTAATTTAAATAGACTTCCTTAAATATAGGTTTGATTTAATTTAACATTTGAAATTGAAATAAGATTTTCAGAATAACACATATGATTAACAAATATTTTATTATATTTTTAAAATCATATCTTATCAGATTAAAATTTCACATATTGAAAATAGATAAATATTAATATTATATAATAATTTGAAGGGACAAGTTAATTTTTTTTATAATTATGATTTTATGCGGGTTAAGTTATCAAAACATGCAAGATATTAGGAGAAAATTATTTCAAAATTAGTAAATATTTATATTATAAAGTAATATAAACGGTCGGGTTAGAATTATGGTTTCATAATCATGGTCTTTTTCGGATTAATAAAATGAGCGAGTTAGAAATATATTTTTATAATAATGATTACTTTTTGATTAATAAAATAACCGGGTTAAAATTATGTTTTTATGATCATGGTGGTCATACAGAAAACAAAATTATATCTAAATACAAATTTTTTATATCACTTATTAAAAAAATATATTTATTAAAAAAATATAAATTAGATTAAAATTTTTGATTTAAACAAAATTTTCGTGCAAATGCACGAGGTAAAATCTAGTAGTCTGTATTTTTGTGTGTATTTTCTCGTTCTGCAGAATTTTGTTAATTGACAAAAATCTGTGAAATCGTGTTTAAAAATGCAATTCCGCCATTCCACAGGTTACCAATCAGAACCTAGATTTCGGGTTTTGCTTCCGACGTACCGACCCGAATGTTGGAGGATTTGGGCCTTTGAATGGGCCTGGTGATTGAAGAAAAAGATCGACGCCGAAGTTATGTGGAGTTTAGCTTATTAACATTTTGTATCGCTTCTATGTTTTTTTGTGTGTGTGGTCCTTCTCTATTTAGGCTCACTCTTTCCTTATAATTTATTTATTTAATCAAATAATGATCAATGAAAGAAACTTCAGATTGAGGTGAGGTCATAAGTAGATCAAACTTGAGAGAGGGATCTAAACGGAACATCGAAATCATTGCGGTCTAGTCATCAAACTTGAGAGAGCCTTTGTGAAAAACTAAACTAGGCCATATAATGACAATACTTTAGTTACAGATCCTGGCCAACCTGTCTCCAAGAAAAATTTACTATTCTCGAAATATCAGTCTTAATAGGAGCATGTAGACTATATAGAGAGAGATCATATCCTAATAGGGGTGGGCAAAAAAACCATGATTGAAAAAACCAAACCAAATCGAACCGAAATAAGTAAATTTGGTTTGGTTATGGGTAACCTACAAACCCATTCGGTTTTCATTTTTATTGAAATTTGGTTTCGGTTTGGTTCGGTTTAAAACCGTAAAATCGAATGTGTTCTTTGGTTTTTAGATTTAAAAAATAATTAACTTATACTTTTTGTTTAATAATATTTTTCTAAGGACGGAGGAGGTTGATAAAAATCTGAATTTTTTTCTATTTATTTTTTAGGTTTTTGTAATCTTGATTTTTATTATTGATGATTTAGATTTACATTTGAATTTTTAGTTTTTGAATTTTTTTACAGTTATTAGCTTAATATATTATTACTATTCATTTTATTTTATTTTTTATAGAAGTTTAAACTTTATCATTATGAAATACACTAAAAACTGTAACCGAACTAAACCAAACCGAACCAAATTGAAAACTGGTTTTTATATGGTTTCAATTTTTATAAAACCAAAAAACCGAAAACCGTAAAAAACCAAACCATATCAAACCGAAATATATATGGTTTTTATATGGTTTGAATTTTTTTAAAACCGAAAAACTGAAAAAGCTGAATTGAAACCAAACCATAAACCGAAGTGTCCACCCCTATATCCTAATATAACAAGTTATTTATATGATTTTTCATCTAGTTTTAAGACATACTAGTCGTCGCATGGACTTTAAAATTTCTATAAAATAAACTCATCATTGTTAAAAATCGTAAGATTTTATTAATTTCAACCAAAATCTTCGACATAAAAATTATATTTATAATAATAATTCTAGTTAATTATTGTATGAGAGTTCACAAAATATATTTATATTAATAAAAAACGGATTTTATATAAATTTTAAAAATAAATTAAAATTTAAACCAAAATAGTATTTTTAACATCAATTATTTATAATTGATACAAATATTAATATCATTTATAATAACTGATGTAAAATTTAATATCACTTAAAACAATTGACATATATTGATATCAATTATTCTAATTGATGCAAATACTTAAAATATTTACATCGGTTATTAATGAACTGATATAAAATATTTGCATCACCACTTTCAGAATCATTTTTTAAATGATGTAAAATTCTTTTGCATCAGTTATAAATAATACAAATAAATAAAATAAATGATGTATTATGATGTTTTTTTTGTAGTGTTTATGTAAACAAATATAACAATAAAATTTCTAAGAATGTAAAGGACCACATGAAATTTTATAAGGTGGAAATTTGAAGGCAAAAAAACGAATGGAAATAAATTTATAAACTATCTGATTGTCGTAGTGTAAGAATCTTAGACTTTGCTGATGAAAGGGGACAAAAATTATTTTACATTTTTTGGAGTATGTAAGCCATATATCACTCTATATATAAAAAACTATATAGATTTATTTATTTAAATCGAATAACCTAGAAAACTAATCTGAGAAGAAGAAAAATAAAATCCTTACTAAACAACACAGATCTGTAGGAATAGTTTTAATGAAAACAGCAAAATTGAGTAATCTCTTAATTTTAAATGAAAAAACATAACTTGAAGAATAAGGTATCAAGGGTGAGATTCATTGCCCAATATGTACAACAGAAGGTAAAAATATTACGTATGTTCTGTTTGAGTGTTATCACTCACATTACAAACATATATAGGCGTTATCAAAAATATCATCGGCCCCAAAAGTTTTTTCGTTGACATCGGTGTACCGTGTACAAATTACTGATTTTGGAGAATGTCTATGCCTGGGAGGAAGAAATTGAAGAAAGTGCAATTACAGAGATAAGCGCGACGGAAATCATTTCTCGTTTGCATATGGAATAATTTGTTAAATAGATGGATCGTGGAAACGTGAGAGTTTGTTATCAGGATTTGGATGATATTTAGTCAATGCAAAGGGGGTGTCTATTTTAATGGACACCAAAGGCCAACGAAGAAGTTTAACTCCTTTACATGCGGAGTTTGATGCTTTGATTTGGGCAGTGTTGAAAAAATCGGCCTAGTCGGCGGCTAGGCGGCCGCCTAGACGGCTAATCGGGGTTAGCCGACCCGATTTTCATAAAATCAGTGAAATAAATCCGGTTTAGTAAAAAATCGGATCAAGTCGGAGAAAATCGGAAAAATCAGACCAAATCGGTAAAATCGGTCAAATCAGACTAATTATTTTTATTATTTTTTCAGTCAAATTTTACGGTTTTGGATAGTAAACCACTATCGGTTTACAGAAAAGAGAGAAAAAAAAGATTTGAAACATGAATTAGGGTTAATAACTTAATATAATCATCTTTGTTCCTCCCCGCTACTTCACTTTCATAAACTACAAGAGGTGATCATTATTCTCTATTTCTGAACTCTATAAGTTTGTTTAATCTTCTCTTTATCTATCTGTACATATTATATAACTATATTGTATTTTTTTAATTTGTCTTTTCATCTTTGTTTACTTTGTTTATGCTCTGTTTTAAGTGTTAACTTTAAATTTTAACGATGAGCCTAGAGGAGATATCGATTCCGACGATTAAAATGATAGCTATTTTTTTTGAATTTGAGTCTGAAAATGAGCAGGTGGTGGATATATATGGATGTGTTTGAAGAATAAGTTAGACTAGGTGTTTAGCCCGCGACTTGCGCGGGCTAAAAGGTTTTAAAAAATAATAATAAAAAAATTATGCTATAAATTGAAAATAATTAAAACAACTATTTAAGACATAAAAATCAAAATAAAGTTAACTAAAAAAGTAAACACAATCCAAAATTAATTACTTAAAAAATACTTTATAACTGAATAATCCACAAACTAATTTAATTAAAATAAATTCTAGTTTTTTTTTCTTATTTTTTTCTTTTCATTATTTTTTCTTTCTTCTTCATTGTTTTATCCTTATTCTTCTTTTGTCCATATTTTTTCTTGTTTTTTTTTTCATGTCTTATTCTTCATTTTTTTTTCTTCTTCCCATATTTCTTATTCAAATTTATCATTCACATCTTTTTGTCTTATTTAACACATTCGTCTTCTTCTTTTTTGTTTTTACGGTTTATTCTTCTTCTCTTTCTGATTTTTTTTTATATTATGTACTTTTCATACTTTTTATGACTCTATATCTTTTGAGGCTAAAAAAAAAAAGATAAATACACATTTCAAACTTAAAACTCTCCTTAAAAATGTGTTATATTTATTGTTAGATAAGAAAGCTGCATTAACTTTTTTAGCTTGCTCCTTTCAAACAATCAAAACTGTTTTTAGATAATCAACTTTAAAAAAGAGCTTAAACATATATATCAAAAAAGAAATTGTCAAAATTTCTTAATTATGCTAATAACAAAAATATCAAAAATTAAAAAAATATCAAAATAAGACTTTAAGTAAAATAGAGTTTCCACAAAAGGGTTGTGATATTTTCACGGTCCCAAGATTTGCAGATTTTTGTATGTAATTTATCATTGATTTCTTTCACATTGTTGTGCTAGAATATATATTTGTTACCCTATTAAATAATTTTGAAAAATAAAGAAAATACAAAATTAGATGGAATTGAATCATTCCAACATACAAACTTAAGAAAATTTAGAGTTTTAGCTACTTAAACATAAATTTTACATCTTTTGTGAAACTTAAGCAAGAGAAGCTTTACTCTGATCCAAAAACAACATTTAATAATTAACAGTTCAAACTCATCTGGAAACACATAAGATGAAAGTACTCCACACGAAAAAGATTTCAGTCGGAGAAACGTGCAGAAGATCAAAGTACAAATAGTTACCTTTTTTCTTCTGTCTTTGCCCATAACTAACATAAAGGAACCATAAACCAATATCAAAAAATATCCCAACACTGGACATAAGAGACAAAACACACACAAAACTCATTCAAATAAAGTGATGTTCAAATAAAAAATAGTAATTTTGTTCATGTATCATCATTATTATCAATATAACTAACTTTGACTTTGAGAGTAAGAATATGCCAAGTGGACTAACATTTTTGCTGGAACTAAACTCCTTGTTAGCTTGTTTTATTTTGTTCTCGGCAGCGACATGTGGGTCTTGGATAAAACACAACCACCATGTTCTGCACCTCGTTCACCGAAGCTTCTTTTGAACTGTTATAAATTTAGGATTCATCAGATCAAGTAATAATCCATAATCAGATGATTAAACCTGTGTTTTTGTACGTGTTCTTCTAAAGTTTCATGTACCTTCCAAAAGTTCAATCAACTTAGCAACCTTCACAAGAACCAGGTGAACTCACGTTCATTGCCATGAGGGATTTCGACACCGTATGTCCTATAGACCATTCTGAATCGTCACCAAGAGCCCACACCACAAAACATAATACATAATCTTTTGTAATAATTTTTTAAAACATATTAAATGCTCTTATCTGACTCCGAGAACTGGTTCGGTTCATGACCATAATCTAGATCTTCATCACCAGCAAATGAAATCTGTTGCATCGCAAGATGAAACAATAAAACGCGGGCACCTAAGAAAGAAAAAACAAAAACAATAAAAAATTAAAACAGATAAGAATCAATAAACAAAAAAAGGCTCGACTCAGCCCCAACTAATAAAAGAGAAAGAAAAGTGCACCAAAACTGGCTAATATATAAAACATAAATATGATAGTTAATAAGAAAATCACAAATCTAAACCTAAAGCACAAAAAAGAAAATAAAATATTACCCTTTGGTATAGCAGTAAAACTAAACAATCAACGATCAAGAGGCTAAAACACCACCTCCTAAACAGAAAAAAAACGTCAAACACTATTATTAATAAGAAGAATTTATAAAATATAAATAGAATCCAACTTCTAATATACATCAGAACAAAATATATTCGTGAAAGCTATAAAAGGGAAGACACAAGGTATCACCTAACATATATAAAAAAATGTAGATCTACATGAGCTAACAGAAACGAATATAAAACAAAAATAACAACCGAATAGAAAATTAAACAGCACAAAACCTATTTTTTTAAGAAGTCACAAGATCACTAATGTGAAACGCACGAAATATATAGCTTACATGATCGCCAAACATTACAACTGTATAAGTGAAAAAAAATTTGGTTGAAAAATCTTTAACAAACGGATAATTTATATATATATTTTTATTAAAAAACAATATCTAAGTATTTATCAAGACTTACTCAAAGATTTATGGAGTAACATAATTATATATGATAATTTTCGATTTTTAATATTTTTTATAAAAATTAATTTCGTTTTTTTTATTTTTGTTTTAAAAAATTGTGATTTAGTTGTAAAATTATGATTTTTGATTTGATAAAATCGTAGATTTTGATCAGATTGAGATAAAATAATGTTTTTGATTTGATTTAATTTTATTACAGCCTATATTATAATCGTGATTTTAGTTGTAAACAATTTTATGTATTTTTTGCTATTTTTTTAAATTAAAAACAATTTTAAGGAGGGGTAAAGGGTAATTAGCCACTCTGAGATTCAATGAGAGAGCTTTAAACCAAATTTTTACTTTGCTTATAATATATATGATATATTTCTCTTTGCTTTATATTTTTAAAGTTTTTAGATTAAAACTTATTTTAGTTTGAAGAATTTGATGATTTTTAGTTTGATTTTTTGTTGAACTTTATTCTATAATTTTATTTATTAAATTTTTTTACTTTTTTATTCAAACATAAATTTTGATAAAATAATTTTTAAGAAAACAACTTAAAGTTTTTTTTAAATATGATATATAGATAGAAAATTTATAAAAATTAACAAAAATTTTGCTAACGCCTAGGCTCCGCCTAGTCTCCGACTAATCCGCCTAGGCACTAGTCTCCTATCATCCGCCTAGCGATTTTTTGAACACTGGATTTGGGTAATGGACTGCACGGTGAGACACTAAGAGTCATTAACTGAAAATTCATTCACGTGTTTGTAATTTTTGGATCTGACTGTTTTTTCTTTTTTCTCTAAAATAGGGTGTAATACTGAAAAAAATGTGATTAGTGTGGCTACAGAAGAAAAAAAAATCATATAAGACACACACAAAAATAAAATAAAAAATCGTCGTCTGCCTAATCTTTTGTAATCATCCTTAAATTATTCTTAGACACGGAAGTAAAACGTCTGTTGACAGGTGGATTAATTAGGTCACTTTGCGTGGATTAGATTTCACTACACGTTTCAATAATTTTCGCTATATGATTAAGACATACGTTTATTTTACGAAAGTTTCTGATTCTACATAAGTCAATATTTAATCAACATGCAGCGGATTTAAGTCCGAGTGGCAACGCAACACAAACTACTAGGATAATAATGTCATGCTCAAATCTAATATTTTGTACGTGTTTATAATTTTGCATTAAGATTATTGTTTTCCGTTGCACTTGACAACATTGAACTCGAAAACATCGGCCAAAACATAGTGTTTGTCAATAGTCACCATAAAAATTTCAGTAATTTGATTTAATATCGGGATATCCTATAAGTCGAGTGGGATGACAGATCTCAGAAAGAAATTAAATTGAAATGGTTAAAAAAAAAGCAAAATGCCTATAAACGAGAGTGACAAATATCCTTCTGTACACACAAATTCTGATAACAAAATATGATCGAACACAAAAGGGCAGATTTTTTTTCTTTTTTTTTGTAATACATAGATTCCGAAATTTTTTGTGTGTCAAATCTCATCAGGCAATTGAAAACTCTGCGTACCGAAAATTTGAAGAGATGTGTTCTGTAGAAAAACAGCAACTCCACATTTAGCACTGTTGAATCCATCCCATACCGTGAAATGAGCCGTACCCGACACCGTCTTCTTCGCCGTTAAGTCCTTAACGGTGCATAATTTTTCTAGCTTTCTTACAACGTAGTCATTCGACAAGACTCTTCCTGAGTTCTCTCCTCGAGGGCAATCTGTAACTAGTCCGGTCTCGTATAGTGCCACCATTATATCTATCCCGCTCGAGTCCACTTTCATCCTCAAAGCTCCTGTGAGAGATACTTGAAGGGTTTCTGATGTTGGTCTTTGGAATGTGGCCTGGTAAGAGAAACCAGTAACAATCTGATCACTGATCTTGATCACAATATAGTTAAAGCACACACACAAGGCTAGTGCTTTAAATCTTATAAACCAATTCTGTTTTTACTTCATACAAAAATGTTCAACTACGAGCTAGCTTCTCTAAAATGCTGAGTCGAAACCTATCTTAAAAGCCCTAATAAGCAAGACGGACCAAAATCAAATTCATGTTTATGATAGAGACAGAGCAGAAGTTGTTATGCTTTTCGACACATAGTGTTGTGTTTGTACTACAAGAACTCTTTCATTCCCAAATCCTTAACCATTACGTGTGAATGCTTGATTTTTAGTGACATCTCAAAATTCTCCATGATATTTTGAAGAAGAAAAAAAAGGCAGGATTAGATTTGTATATACAAAGGCCATCAAAAACTTATTCTAATCCAAATTATATTACTCTATAGTCTATCTAATGTGAGATTTATGTCATCACATTTATAAAACAATAATTGACGATTTCTAACATCCAAAAATATTACTTCTTCTATCATCGGCTCGTTAATCAAAATCGAAAATGTAAGAGATTACTCACCCTAAACGCGGGAGAAGGAAACCTAGGCGCTTCAACAATCGACTTGAGCAGAGTCTCTTCTTCATTCCCAAGTAATTGGACTCGACCTTGAACCACAAGCTGAGGAGTAAACATCGTATCTTGATTCAACGCCTCGACGTAAGCCTTTTGCCTCACCGTCCACTGGCTTGACCCATACGGATCCTTCCACCCCAAGTAATCCCAATAATCAACGTGGAAAACAAGAACCATCGCCGGTGAACCGGATCCACCATCTCGACGGATCTGACCGTCGAAATCGCCACGGCCGAGTCGGGACACGAGCATCTCGGCCTCCGGAGAAGTCTTACATCCCTGAGACGAGAAGAGCTGAAGGAGAACAGGTCCATCACCGGCTGGAACATCCGCGGCGACGACGGCGGCGTTATGACCGGAGATTCCTTTTCCGGTGGTGGAAGTGGAGGATCCTTTGACGCCAAAACAGGCGAAAAGACGCGGCGCCATCGGAGAAAGCCGTCTCTTCGCCGTCCGATTAAAATAGGCAGAGGCTTTCTTGAGCGCCAAACAACAACAACAAAAAAAGAAAAAAAAAAAAAGTGGAGGGAGAAACAAATCAGAAGATTAGAAATGTTTCTCCAAGAAAAATGCGAAAAATGTTCAGAGAAACATTGAAATATTGGGACGAGGAAGAAACAACTTTACAGGCTAGAGGTTAAGAGAGAAAGGCGGCAACAAGTGTCTTTAACTAATTTTTTTCTCTATCTATTTTTGTTTTTTTCTCTTTTGTTCTAAATATTAATAATTCTTTTGGCCTTTGGATGGCAAAAGCTGTAATTTTTGTGAATTTTCTGGCCTTTGGAGGATTTGTTATTGCGTTGTGAGGAAGGGAGTGTTGGGTGACACGTCGCACATGAGTCCATGACATGTCAGCGAATCTTTCAACTAACAGTCTTTTTCACCACTAAGAGAACCGAGCCGGTTGGTTTAAATTCCGGTATAGTATAGTATAGAACTAAACGATTCCACAAAAAAAAACAGTTGAAATTCCAGTTTAATAATAAACAGAGAATTAGTAATCCAAAAGTCAGGATATTGATCAAAATCTATGGATTGATACCTTTTTGAAAATATTATATGATATATAAATAAATATTTGGACGTAAATTTTTTTATGAAAAGTCTCCTCATGAATAGAGATTGATTCTCTGTATCGTTCCAATTCTCTGTAATTAACAATTGTAACTTTGATAACTAATAAAGGTGAATTAGACGTAAAAAAAAAAAGAATAGAGCATTCTTCTTTTTGGCTATGTTTAATGAGCATTCTTCTTTCTATTTTAGACTTACAAAAAAATCTTCTATCATTGTTTCGAGAAATACAAAAAACAATCTCTTCACTTTTTCATCTCCAATTCTGTTTTTTCTCTATTTCTGAAAGTACAACGTACAGTCGATAAGTTTCTGATTTTGAGTGCAGCATATCAGAAGAAAGTGTCTCCTCCTCTCCACACAGACCTCATTCACCGAATTCTGGTATCAATTTGTTTCTTAATTATGTTTTGTATCAATATATTTTCTAATTATTTTGTTTTGTCATATCTTAGAATCGTAGTTCTACACATTGATCTGAAGGTTCTAAATAGAAGGTAGCCAATGCAGTTTTTATATCACCTAGCTAATTGAAAATCCAACACCGTTCAGACTGAGTTGACCCGTCCATATTTATTCTTTTATAAATAGTTTTATAAACATAGAAAAGCTTAAGTTTGATTTTCCTATTTTTTCTCTTTTGGATCTAAAAACATTATTCTTGCTTTTGGGATGAAGATAAAGAACTTCAATAGGGTGATCCCATTGCTATACTACATTTTAGATCATTTTCTTATTCTTTCTATATCAGAAATTTTCTATGACTTGCAGGGTGAAATATAACCCCAAAAATGCAATAAAGTGAGCACTTTCTTCCACGGTTCCTCGACTTCATTGTATGGGACCATGAGCATGAATGCCTTATCGACCCCCAGGTCCATTGAAAGTTTGATTCTTGGAGTTATTGCATTTAAATAAGAGTGAGACATAGTGTTCTTTCCCTCTCTGAGCTAAAAGCGTTTAAATTTTGAAGGAAATATCTGGAATGGGCTTCCACATCACACAACTAGGATCTTCTGTGGCAACATCACTTGTTGATGGAGAACCAAAGCCAAAGCATGTTCTTCTCTTAGAAATCAAGGTTTCATCTTCCCTTTGATCGTACTGCTTAATCTACGCACTTCAAGTATGGCTTTCTGCTCTTTTTTATTCAAGCATGTAAGCCTGAGTAACTTATAATACATTACAGGGAAATTATACAATGAGAAGTACTAACAAAACCCCAATATTTCATAGCCGGTCAAATTTTGTTTTGCTAACTAGATTTTCTGAGAGTCACATTCTCTAGTGTCTTACTTTTGATCACTTGACAGTTAATTGGAAACCAAAGCAATTAAATAACTTATTCATTTGTTTATTTACGTAGATATCATTTCATTAAGAACAGAAGCCGAGGTGTATGTAATTCTTTGGTTCTAATGTGTTTGTAGTAACGTTTTGTGTCCGCGTGAATGTCTACGTCACCAAAATTTCTAAAAAGACTCGTAAAGCAACTTTTAACGATTACATACTTAAAAGGTTATACATATTCAAAGGATATCACAATCTATTTAATAAGAAAGTGCCTTCAAAGGATATCACAATCTATTTAATAAGAAAGTGCCAATGCGCTCGGAATCCAGATATATGTTTTTGCATGTTTAATTAAGGATTTCTACTTTTGGTTTGAGACCCAAGGCCCAGGATTACTATAAAGCTTGATAAGAAAGCAAGGGCTAGCTAGTAAGCTCTGCCAAAAACATAAGAAGGGGAGAAAAAGCACTAGGAAGTTCACATGTTCATGCAACAAGACAAGATAAGAGCTCCTCCGCAAATGATTTAGAGGTCATAGGCAAAGCTGGTTTCATAGTAAAGGCTTCACAAGGCTAGCCGTCTGCGATTTCAAATAAACAAAAGATGAGAAACAAATGTGTTTGTGCTCACCTAACAAAATTGATTGCAATCAGTACCTCTGAAATCCATTCGAATTCTTTGTTTTGTAGACTCGTCAGCTTGAGAGAGAATCGAGGTCCACATTCCTGCCACAAAGTTCCACAATCAACACAAGGATGATACATTTGTTGCAAGAAAAAAAATTGAAAATTATAAATACAAGAACAAGAGGACCCTAACCTGCGGGCTAACTGTGTCACTCTCTCCTCCAATACAGAAACTGAATAGAGTGAATCAGTAGAATATAAGTAAAAGACTTTTGTAGCCAGAAAAAAAAAACAACCTCAAGAGAAGAAGAAGAGCAATATACCGATAACGTCCGAAGAGTATAGAATCACTACGGTTGTGGAACATTACAAGGTCCCTATGACGGCAAGGAGTGGCCTTGGGAAAGAGCGATTGTATGATTCTGAAAAAGAACCAATACATGAGTTAGAGCACACAAGATTTAAAGATGTTTTCTCAACTATTATATGATGAAGCAAAGAGTTTAAACCTCTCAACGACAGCACCCATAGGAGATGTAAAGTTTCCCGTCTGAAGCTGCGGATAGAATCGGCTCTTGGGATGTCGAAGATCCTGCAAGCCAAAATTTTTAACATCAACACTCACACTGATAAGCAAGCAAATTTAGGTATACAAAGCAAGAAAAAGAAAAAGAAAAAACCAATACATTTAAATCCTCCCGTGATTTGAAGTTAAGAAGCCTGAAAGTAGCGGTAGCCCCATTCAACAAGCTTGTGATACAGAGATAATGTCCTATACGGTTTGTATGAACCAGGACGAGAGATGTAAAGCCCTTCGTCTTGGCAATTCGTTCCACCTCCATAAACAAAACAAAACAGACGCCGTTCAGACAAGAATACATAAAAGTATGTAGTTTTTGACAAACAAAAATTAAGAGCATCGAGCATTCACCTCATGTAAATTGGTATCAGCACGCCTCTCACAGTACGAAGAGCTTGGGAGCACTGAGAGCAACTCCTCTGCAACGAAACGTTGCCTCCGAGCATATATCTCAGCATTATACATCTGACAATGTCCAAAGACACAGAAATTGAAACACGCATGGACACTAGTTTAACCGAGATATATTTAGCTACTTAGCTATGTCATACAGAGGGATCGACAAGAGTAGTTGTGATCAGTGTCTTGGGTTTGATTTCCCCTCTCAGTATCCGATCAATTTCATCGGTTTCAAATTCTGCCCAAAGCTGCAATAAAAAAAAAAAAAAAAAAACGCCGAGAGAGCCAATTAAATGCCGGAGGGAAGACCTAATTCCAAAATACAAAGAAGACCATTCATTCATTACCTCTTGATCATCGAGATTCGCAATCTTCCGGCGGATCTTCGTCTTGGCGGCGGCGACACGGTCCTCGGCACTTTTCTTCATCTCCAACTTCTTCCGGTGCCTGAGTTTCTCGTGCGTCGACGTTTCTGATCTTTTCGCTCTCTTCTTCTTCTTCTTCGAGGAAGAAGCTACAATTATCTCTTTCGCTGTTTTCATCTTTCTCTATCGCTCGCGACGAAGGTGCGTTTAAGGGTTCCAACCTCCTCGTAGCAAATATAATTTATCAACAATATAATGGGCCCAATTTGGGCCAATCTAGATTGGTTGGGCTCGGGATGTAAACATCAATTGATTGGTGCCCAACTGTAATCGACGATTCTAATTGGCCTCGGGACTCCGGTTGTCTTCCTAATCGATCTGCTTTAAACGGTTTACGCGGATCGACTGTCTTGTATAGTTTTTGGTTATAAACCAATTTTTAATCATTTTTTTCTGATTAAAAAACTCTTTGGTTAATATTTTAGACTCTGTCCAAAATCATAATACTAATTTTACATACGAGATCTCGAAAATTAATGTATGAAACGAAACTTTAAAAAAGCATGAATATGATGCAATCGTCTATGGTGCAATCGCTTTGCGATAAAATGCAATGCACATGAAAACGATCGAAGAAAATCAATACGAGACAAAACAAAATCATCACCCTACCAAAACACTGCAAAAATAGATGTACACAAATTACAAACATAGATGTCTAGCAAAGATCAAACACAAAATACAAACATAAAAAAAAATGTCTAAATAAGAGGACAAACACATTGTACCCACATTCATCCATGACACAAGAAAAGAAAAGAGGATAAACAAACCGACTACTGCAAGTCCTCACGATCTTGATCAGTCAAAGCCCAATTGTTCTCCCTGAGAACCTTCTCTTTTTCCTGGGGAGTGAAATCGTTCTTCAGACCAAACGTTTTCCTGATTTCAGACAAAGGCTTGTCGCTCAGCAAATCGGCAAGCGTTTTACAAGTGAGGTCAGCAAGAGATTCGATTCCAATATAGTCAGCTGCCTACCAAATAGACAAACACGAATCAAGGGAAAGATATTGAAAATCTGAGCCAGTCCGATTCTGCATGAAAGGATATTCCTTTTTCAACCCTAAAGCTCGATCGATTCCAGAGATATATAGAAAAAGCCCCCAGAACGAAAAATACAAAGATTGAGGGAAAATGTGAAACCTTGATCAGACCAAAGAGCGTCGGGAGAGAGACTTTCATGAATTGGGCGTCCCATTGCTTGAGCTCATCGGCATGGCTCTTGCTGGTGACCGAAGCGGTAGAGGAGGAGGAGGCGGATGAGGCTTGGTGTTGGTGCTTCTTGCAATAGGCGATCAGCAAAGTGAGGATTTCGCTAGTGACATTCTCCAGCGTTAATTCCTGACTCTCGAAAGCACCCTCAACATTTTGCACTATTAACCAGTCGTGGACAAGAGTTTTATCTACCTCGAAGGAAATCCCGTCGGAAGATTTCAGGAGAAACGACATGTTGGAAAAACCTTTGAAGAATTAGAAAACGGCGACAATGGGCCAATGGCGCTTTTGCTCTACGTTATATACAAACCCTACTTTATTTGCCAAATTCTCATTTCTATTTATTTATATATATATATATATCCCTGTTTTTTTGGATCGAAAATTTTATATTTACACATTAAGTAACGAAAAAGGACACCATACTGATAAAAATAACGAAACAAAACAAAAAGAATTTGTCATTGTCTTACAAAAACACACAGAAAAAGACGGAAGGTTTAGTTTATTTAAGGATGTTGGCTGCATGAAGAAGAGATGTAATCTCAAACACAAGAGTCACAGAAGAAACTTTCGCTTAATACAGCCAACATTCTTAAATCAACTAAAATTCAAATCACATAAACCAAGACAAGATCAAGCAGTAGTAAGTCAGAATTGGGATCCACAACCAACAACTGAGATAATGCAACCAGACAAAAGAATAGTATCCAAATTCAAGGAGCATGCATGTGTATATTATTGGTTGTTTAAGAAAGAATATTCTTCTTTGGTTTCTGAGCTGCGCTAGACAATTTATAACCATTTATCAACGATCTTGATAGCAATGGATATAGAGAAAGTCGATAGAGCTCTCTTCCATTTATATAAGAAAGGAGCGAAATGTGAAGTCACTCTCCTCCTTTACAAGATGTGTGTGTGTGTGTATTTAAGATGCCATCGATCTAATAAGAGCAGCCCAAAGAGGAATCAAAAAAAAAAAAAAAGTTCCTTGTGAACTTTCCCGGTCAAGTTCAACCATATCTACGCGACCAATCATTTCAGTTAAGAGTTCGGAAACAAAGTCCAGGCATGATCTCCCTAACTTCCTCAGCAAGCATAAAGAAGACCTTAATAACATGTTCAGCCTACCCAGCAAAAATTTTCACGGAGAACTGGATCTTGAGTAGCAATTCCCGCAGGGCAGGTGTTCTTGTGGCAGTTTCTCATCATGATACCCCCGAGTGTAATAAGGGGTGCAATACTAAAACCACTCTTCTGCGCCCAGGTGATCAAGCAGCAACTGCAACATCTCGCCAGTTTTCAGCTGGTCATCTGTCTGAAGAACAGTACGGCCATGAAGGTCATCAGCAACAAGAGTTTGGTGTGTCTCTGCTAGACCCAGTTCCCACGGAAGACCAGCATTTTTTATACCGGTTTAGAGAGATGCATCAGTGCCTCCATGATGACCTGCTATCAGAACATGGTCAGCGTGGCCCTTCACGACACCGCTAGCAATAACTCCAACACCAGCTTCCGATACAAGTTTAACACTAATAGGGACCCCAGAGTTGGTATTCTACACAAGATAATGAGTAAGAGATTTCACACAAAATCATATGAATACACAGAGAGAATGCTTTGATATGTAAGAATTGGGAAAGCATAAATGTGAACCTTAAGATCGTGAATCAGTTGGGCAAGATCCTCGATAAAGTAGATATCATGATGAGGAGGTGGACTGTTAAGCCCCACACCAGCGGTGGAAGCGATGTCTCCTATAACCTTGTGGCCAGGGAGCTACCCTCCTTCCACAGGTTTGGCACCTTGTAAAGAAAGTATTTAGAAACTTTAACAGTATACAGATGCAATATTCAACAATTTTTTTGACAGGGCACCTATAACTACTCAGTGCAAACACACATAATCTGCTATGAACATGATGCCGTAAACAAAATTATTCCGGTTCCAGTAGGAACATAGGGACAGTACAGAGTACAGACCCAAAGATGTGCAAAAGGCATGAGAATGAGAGAACATTGTGTCAAGTCATATCCAAAGGTACCTGGGCCATCTTCATCTGCAGCTCATCAGCATTAGTAAGATAGTACAGCTCGAAACTCCAAATCTTCCGCTAGCAATTTGTTTGATGGAACTTCTTTTAGGATTCCTTGAACCATCTGGAAGACGCTTCATACGGGATGGCAGTTCCCGTTCCTCACCTTAGGCAGATCATAAACTCATGTGTTACTATGTTTTTTAGAAGAATTATAAGGGAAATGCAAAAATCATGAAAACAAAACAAATCATACCTGTATTTGACTTTCATCCAAGTTTGTTCATGGCCATTGCAGGGTTGTATGCGCCTCCAGTGATTTCACTGCAGCTCACTTCTTCTAGTGATTTTAATATCTGCTTCTTTAAAATTAATAAGGCCCGCGCAAATTACTTTGCTAGTTCAATTAATTGATACGCTTAGAGTATTCCTTGTAGCGGCCACACTAGTAGTCTGGGATGCCTTGTAATACTTCTTGACCAGCTCCTCTTTGGAATGGCATTCCCCGTTAGATTTGGATGGTATCTTGCCATCGACCTGCAATCTATAAACGACCTCGGCAGCCAAATATGGGCAAATAGCATCTGCCCCGAATCCGACAAGTGTGCAGAAATGATGCACTTCACGTGGTTCAGCAGATTGCACTACCAAACCAACTTGAGTGCGCGCAAGTGTCTTAACCAGGTGGTGATGAACGGCATCAACAGGCAACAGCCAAGAGGGAGCTCACAGCAACTCGCGTAGCAGAGAAAGCTAGAAAGTCAAGGCATATAAAAAATGTAAGAGCATGGCAAAGAAATTGTCAAAAATGGAAGTACGCATACAGATCCTAAAGTCAGAGTTTATAATGAAGCCAAATGATTACCTCGATCAGACATAACCAGTAATGTGTAGCCCTCCTTTATCGCTTCATTTACTTCAGCACAATTCGGTCCTCCAACCTTTTTGTACCTTGTTCTTTTTGATAAGTCAAATAAAGAACTTAGTCCTCCAGCCTCTGTGATTCATCTCTTCTGTGGTCAAAAAGAGAACACCTTTTAGGGAGAAACGGTGACATAGCACACACAGAAAGAAAAAAAGAGCGTAATAGTAAGTGAGAGACAAACCACTTGGCATAAACAGTCATTTTGAGAGCTGATGGTTGTGGAGCAGTACAACACTTCCTTTCCAGGTGTTGCTTCATTAGCATGAGGATTTTTAGAGTTGTGTAGATTTCGTAAGTTCCCAAAATTTACTGGCTCGCTCTTATTGCATCTGACACTGAAAGCTTGCAGGGTTTGCACATCTAGGCTTCACCGTATCATCCAATTCGAACCAGAGAGTGTCAGACCGCTTCTCAATCAATCTAGCTACAGCCAGTCGGAATCCGAAGACCCTCAGAGATACTCCACGAGAGGCTTAACTATTCCCGCTACCCTGCATTCCCAAAATCTCGGGGGTATCGAGTAAAAATACCTCCAACCTCCCTCCTCGCTACACCAATACCGACCAAAAAAGTGACTGATGGGCTCATACTAAACCACCGGTGCAAGATCTATAACAACACTAGCCTGAAGAATTTGCGGGTATGTTCTCAGAATTTCAGTGAATGTTGATTTTCTCACGCCTAGTTTTCCGAGAGAATCTAGCACCATGTTCTTCTTTACGCTACAACCAAGAACATGAGTAATTGTTGATATTTTCGATGGTAGGTCTCAGTTTTTGACGAAAATCCAGTCTCTTTCATCACATCAGCTGTTACAGGGAGTTCAAGCCCCATCAAGCTCATCAGGAACAATGCCAATCCCACGCAAGAACTCATAAACCCTAGCACGATTAGCAGTTTTCTCCTTATTCATCTCTAACAAACCTGACGACTATACTGAGAATCTCTTCCCTTATCCTTATCACGTCCCGAAGAAGAAC